CAGGGTGGATTTGACTATTTCCTCGAAAAACACACACGGATAGTACGTTAGTATCCCTGGTACTTATTGTTATGAACGATGACTGGTACTTGTGACCTATCCTGACTCAATATTGGCTGCTAGAGCGCAGGTCAAATCCCGCAGTGCCTCACGACACCGGAAAATGTAACATCGAGCTCTTCGCGCAAAAATGTAAGATAAGAAGATTTTCATAGAGCAGGGAACCTTAATGTTAGGTGAGCAGTCAGAAGCAAGAGCTAAGTGATTACCCCTATATTTTATTTATTTAGCTTTTTGGATGCAGCGTTATAGACAGTTTCATATAGGTTTGTTCCGCCCACCGCTGAGTGCACCCCGGAGACTAGCGCGTGCCGACGTTGAGGTGCACGAGAAATGTCTTCTTGCTAACGTTGATGTTTATTTGTGACTGAGCTCCAGGATCCCAGTTTTTGAATTTGTGACATTTGCACAGATAATCATGGTTTGAACTCCAGATGTGTGCAATGTAGTATAAGTAATGCTTGAGGCTGTACATATCGAACATTGTACTTTCCTTTAGTGCGATATCTCGTTTCGTCAAGCTTGCTCTATGCCAGTGCTCGATTGGATCCTCAGGTGTAGTCGACATTATTCTGAAGGTCGAGGTCGCTGGTACAGACACGAAGCAATTCCTATGCATGTGAGTTTTATTGGGTACGTAGCGCTGTTTCTCCAGCTCTCGTAATTCTCTTACATGAGAATGCGTGTACGTTTGGATCTAGGTGGATCTACCGATATAGGCCAACGTATTTCCTAAAGTACTTTTAGGACAAGGATTATGGTCTGAAAGTATCGGCTGCTCCGTAACACATCTGGAATTTTTATAATTTTTGATTTTCTCCGCCTAATGAACGATTTCGATTTCTCCGGTGCTTAACCACGATTTCCCCAATTCTCAACATAATGATTATAAACCTCAGATTTATATTGGTACTCACATTGGTATCACATTGTATCCACGGTTGTATTGTCCTTTATATTAGATTACTCTCACATACTAAACCAATACCCCGTACACATCAATATTTAGTTTGTTTACGCAATAGAACTGTTCCTCGATTTTTAATCACTAAAAATAAGTGTATTTCATTAATCTGGAAATTCTCATCTCAAGATCACTCGCTTCTGATACATTGTATCACATGTAAGTTCAGCGCGTGTATGATATACCCTGATTAATTGTCTCTAATTTATCGCTTCTCTTCGATAACTTACCTTGTACTAATATCAGGTACCAGTGTTTCTGATATCACCTAGGTATTACGACGAGTGTATCTTCACGTGGTTCTACTCCATGAACTCGAAATTATACGAACTTCTCGTCCAATCGAGTTTTACTCTGGTGACCACATGGGAAGTTAAGTAAGTTTATCTCGGGTATGTCCCTACCCGATGAAGCCCTAACCCTATCGCTGAGAGAGTTGGTCTAATTGAATACTGGAAACTATATAGCATTAAATATGATAATTAATAACCTAAAAACCACATTAATAAACATATACGGGCCAAATAAAGACGATCCAGTATTTTTTGAAAAAACAAGTGAATCCATTTCAAGTTTCGATAATCCAAATCTGATAGTGTGTGGGGATTGGAACCTGGTTTTGGATCCTATAAAAGATACTTACAACTATAAACACATAAATAACCCCAGAGCTAGAGAAAGAGTACTAAACTTGATTAATCAACATGATTTTATTGATATCTGGCGTGAAACCCATCCTGAAGATAGACGATATACATGGAGAAAAACGAATCCAATTAAACAGTCTAGATTAGACTACTTTTTAGTATCCCCTACCATAGCCGAAAAAACAAAAAAGACATCTATTGAACCCGGATATAGAACAGATCATTCTCTAATTATTATAGAAATTTATATGTCAGATCAAAAACGAGGTAGAAATTTCTGGAATACAGAGATACTATAAAAAAGGTCATTGAAGACACCATCAAACAATATGCAGTAACACCATATGACCCTGAAAAAATTGTACATATAAATCCTGATGAGATAGAGTTCACTATCAACGAGCAATTATTCTTTGAAACGTTGCTTATGAACATCAGAGGTAAAACAATAGCATATGCGTCTATGTTAAAAAAGAAAAAAGATGAAGAAGAAAAAAGCCTTACAAATTCAATAAGGGATATGGAAAATAAGACGGATAGGACCTCAGGTACAGAGAAAGAAAGGCTATTACAAGACCTAAATAAATCTAAAAAAGACCTGGAAAAGTTAAGAAAAAATAAGGTGAAGGGATATAATTTCAGATCCAGGAGCTAAGATGGATGGAACATGGGGAAGAAAGACCAACAACAGTATTTTTAAAACTTCAGAAGCCAAAAATTTGTTTTAAATAAATCAGTAAATAAAATTAAAAAGACAGATGGAACTACCTGTTAACTGAACAAAAGGATATAAATTGAAGAAAACAAAATTTTTTTATGAAAAGCTTTACTCGAAAAGAGAAACAACACCTATATGTTTGAAAGAATTACTGTCAAACTATCAAGTTCCAGTCTTTACACATGAACAGTCTAATCCACTTGAAGGAAAACTAGAAAAGACTGAAATACTAAACGCGTTAAAAAGGATGAAAAATGAAAAAAGTCCTGGGTCAGATGGCTTTACTGCAGTTTTACAAATTTTTTTGGATTAACCTTGGATCTTTTCTCCAAGAGGATCACTAAAATAGTAGTTAGTGATCGGCACTGTATCAGTGTGTGAACGTATGACAGTTCAGGCTGCAGAACTCCGAAAAAAACAAGAGATTGAGTTGAAGTTACTTGCCTTGAGCCTAAAGCCCGGAAGTGAAGGAGAAATGTTAAGTCTAAAAAACTAAGGCCGTATATTGAATGTATTGAATAATGATCCTAATAAAACTTGCATCGAGAACCACCAAGGGAGGCCGCTCGTCACTCACCTCAATACAGCAATTACCACACACTCTACGCGCGTAATTTTCACGGCTCAATCGCACAACTGCGCCACTTCTACCTCGCCGCCAGGCACGCGCTACCCTAGGGTCAAACACTCACGCAGAATCGCATATCATCCCCAGTCACCTCCATTCGCACTATCACTACTGAACCCACTTTCCCGTTGATCTGTCTCATGCTAGGGCTACAGATAGGAAAGGCTTGAAAGCCCGAGGCAGGTTTGGGAGTGTGTCATGTTGAATGTGGGGAAGTTGTAGTAGTGCATCGGGGACTAGATGTTAGATTTGGATGTGTGGGGCGTATTCGGAGGTTCAATATGACCAATGTTTCAAAAACTGGAATAGAGCAGTGTTCAGAGCATTCGAGTGGGGTCAAGACTATCATGTGAGTAGTTGCTATACAATAGGACTTGTGCGTTCGTCCATCTTTGTTAGCGTTAGTCTAGAGATGGAGCCGCAAGTGGGATTGCGACACAGATACTTGGCACCTGCATACCTGCGTGAGATATAGTCATGGTGGAGTGTTCGGCGTAGAAATGTCGTAAAGTTATCAGCGTAGATTAAAAATATATCAATAATAAAAGGAATAAAGAATGAAATGAAACTGAAATACTCTTCTCTCAGCAATTTGCCTTGATGGATGAACTACCGGAATCTTCGATTGGATGCACTCCGCGCGAACGCCAGAATCTTATAAGTATCAGCCTTACGCAGTCTGTTTGTGGAGAGAATGTTTACTCGTGCGAAGGCGATAGATTGCTGCCGGTTTAAAAAATAAAACCTTGAAAAAACCAAAGTAAAAATGGATTGGTAAAACAGTGAGCATATTCGCGAGGCGAACGTTTCTGTAGCGGCCAATGCCATTATGCGAGCTGGAAGAAATTCTTTAAAAATATTAGAATAAAGATTTTCAATTAAATCTGAGCACTGATGATGGAGGGGAAAGGAAAAATTATAGGAAGGAACAACATTTAAAGAAATGGAACGTACAGTAAAACACTGGTCTTATAGAAATCTTACTCCATTTGGGAGAAATATAGTACTGAAATCTTTAGTACTGCCCAAATTAAATCATCTTTTTTCTATACTACCAAATCCAAATACACAGTTTATTAATGACCTGGCGAAGAAAGGCCTAATGGTTTTGTTCATTATATGGGGAAGGGTACAACCAGATGAACAAGTAAAAAAGATCAGCAAGAATTATCCAGGAATTACCCGAAAATGGACAGAGGGTATTTACCGCGGTTCCTGACACGTCAGAAAAGTTTATAGGTGCGCAGCGTCGAAATTGAGAATAGCTCTGGACTGAACGCCCTATGTGGGGAACCAAAAGTGGAAATGATGTGGACGAAGGGATTGTTTCCAAGTCCAATTTTTTCAAAAAGTATCATTTGATTGGCCACTACTAGGGAATGTCGGAAATAAAATAAAGCAAAGAAAAAATATGCCCAACTGTTGTTTGGAAAGATGTTTTAAAGCAGCATGGCAGAACAATATTAACAATGGGTAAGAAGAATGTAGATAGTTACCCCCACAAAGGGCTACTGGGCGGAATTCTATCTGGGGCAAATATAAGTTTTGATTTTAATAAGGAATGAAAATAAGATTAGTAAAAGATCGTCAGCTGACTGGATTTAAGAAGTCCCGAGGAATGTCTGTTTGTCGAATGCAATCATAGATGGAAGTCATGATCAAATCTGAAGAATATGGAAGAATAATCAGATATGGAAAACAAACGATACCCTGTAAGAATATACCTTAGGGCAGTAATGGAAAAAGAGGTAGTTAAAGGGACTACGGTAGGAGGGCGACTTCACTAGGCGCTGTGGCGCGAGGAGGAGAACTAAGTCAGAGCGGCCATCGAAGTGTATTATGGATAAATGAGGAGCTCATTGTGCCGACATGCACTTGGGGAGGAGGAGCCAACCAAATTACGTCAGAGGCACTCGCGGCCCTGATACGCTCACACAGGGGCGTACACCGAAGTGAACGCTTTAGAATCTAAATATAGTGTACATAGGCGATAGGTAACAGACGAAGGTGCATGAGTGAGATCTGTTTCTCTGTGTCTTAGTGTGATATGTGGCTGTACCAACTGTACTATATTTGCTTGTGAGCATTGCCAAGCCACATTACTACCACTAGTATGCATATAACCAGTGCAGCGTGTGACGTACGTGTACGTGTTGCTTGCGCCCGAAGATTGTGTAACGTAGCTGTTTGACAAGTCGACGAGACGCCCTCGATCGCACATCGTTACTACAAGTGTCCAGAGCTAGTGGATTATCAGTCCGTGTACATAACGATAGACCGCTGGTTGGCCTGGTCAAACCTGTTTTGAAGTCGCCAGATGGCACAGCTAGTACGCCTACGTTCAAACGTTTACTGCGGCCGGCCGGCTAGGCCGGCAGCACAACTGGTTACTGCGTGCGAGTTTGCGACTTACAAGCGCCCAGAAAGTAAAGTCGTGAGCAAACAACAATGTCAGTTTTCCGGCAACATCCAGTGAAGCCGGGAGATAAACCTAAACGGGTCCAGCATCGCATTCGTTTAGATGTCAGAGACATTCCGGAGTTGCAAAGGGTGAAGGAAATCGCGGGAATTTCACAAAATGGCGATTTCCTTGATCAGGGTGCGTAAGGCATCACGGCGCCACTGCTAGTGAAATCACTGCGCCTGCAGCTGCTGCTGCGTAAGTATTGTTCATATTATTATGTTTATTGAAACTGCATACGTTTTTACGTTCTACGCTCCGGTCTGGTCGTGATACTGATAGTGATAGTGACATAGGCCTATTTCGTTCTTGATCATACAATTTGATGATGCTATATACTCGTTACCTACATTAGTAAAGGACCTACGGTAACAGTAGTAAGGGACCTACATTAGTGGAGGTAGCTTGCCATTCACTGCATGTATGCCTACGTACTATACCCGTGTACTGCACGGACTGTGTAGCCGTATGTCTACACGGGTAGAGCCGTGTATATAAACATGTGTCGAACATGTATATATATATCTATTTCCATGTGTAGAGCTTAGCCACACCTTTGGCCTACCTTTTCGCTTTCCAGTACGTTGGTAGTCGTATAGCCTGTGTGCAGAGAGCTATGCTAGTATTGCACACAGGGTCTATGTACCCTGGCCTCTGTCTGCATGACCAGGCTCGTTAGGATTGCATTAGGGTTAGAATTATTGTTGGGGTTAGTAACTCAGACAGAGGTCATGGGGGAAATTAGGCAAAAGTTATCTTCTCGCTTTACACTACGTTGGTCTCACGACGTGAAACAGTTAATTGTAGAGCTATAGCGTGGGCGGGTGGGCTAGGGCGAAATTGACCCTTTTTCTTTCAGCACTTAGGCCCTACTAATTCGGGGGCATGCACAATTATGTACTCTCACACACGAATGCGCGTATAGGGTAGACAGATGGTATATAGATGTTGGCAGCTACGAAACGATTGCAAATTATATTTTAATATATCCTAAACGAAATTTGGAACAAATTTCCAATATGATCACGTAAAGTTACTAAACATATATTACTAAGAGTGTATAACACTAATTATAATTAACACAAATATATGAAACAGCAATTATATGTTATGATCTATTGTGTTTGTCATCTGTGATCACTAACTTGCACATATAGGACGTATTTTACAATGTGTTCATTTGTAAAATGTTTCAGGCCAACTTCTCCGACTACATCTGCAGCTGTGGAAACACCTGCGAGAACTCCGGAGCGATTCTTTCGCTCAACGCCAGTTTCAAAAGGTAATTGTTTAGTTGTCATGTTCATTTAGACAATGTTTAATCAGTATTTAGTAGCTTTCATTTACATACTCATTTTATTCAAACGTTGACGATATTAATAAATAATTACAAAAGCGATGTATTATGAGATTACGATGTATTTCATTTCCAAAGTTAAAGTTATGAATGACTGACACAACAGTCATACACTAGAGGCATTGCACGTTTGTAAAGTAATGAATGCATTGGTTAACAATACATACATGTTTGTTAGTGCTTTCACTTTTCTGCAGTAACAGCGAGAAAGACTAAACTGAACTAATTATATTTATTTAATAGGTATCGCGCCATCAACACCTTATAGTGGAAAAAATCACAACCCATTCTGGGATTTGTCGCCAATAGCCGAGGTCGAGCCTGAGACATTCTTCCACTTAGCTCCGTAAGCTCCACGTTAACGGATCCTTTTACATTGTGACTTGCTTTTAAAAATTATTGTTTATGATGTTTATGTTAGGGGGCAAGGGATTCAACTTTTCAAATTTCCTGCTGGAACCGCAACATAGGTGGAACTTGAAAAAAGTTCGCGGTCGAGACGTACGTAATAACAAACTCACTCGTGGCGGACGAAACAACATTAACAGGCACATCACTCAAGCGAGGTAGGACATTGTTGTTAGTTGTTGGAATATATTCACAGGAACCGAGTACAATTAGATAATGCTGCAATGCTAAAAGTATGATTACCTGCCGATATGAGATCAGAAAAATTGTGCTGATATAGATGAAGGTTTTGTTTTTTCATTATGTCAATGTGGAACCAAAAGGTGGATCTAAACGGTTTTTAGTGCTCTCCTAGATTGGAAGCAGTTCTTAAGATGCTTGTAAGGCAGAAATTAAATTAAGAAAAATGTTTGGGTTACGTCAACTGTTTTGAAACGTTCCGCGGCAGGAACGCCGGAAGCTATTAAAAATATGATTCCACGGATAGTTATGTCTCTGGTCAGAAGTTTCCTGGGCACTCCTACTTTAAGTTTCTAGACTTGCTGTGTAAGCAACGAAATTGACTTACTCATGTTATGATTACTTGGGATTTACAGTACAGAAGAGGATATTATATCACCTGAGGATGAATGATGGCTGGTCATGCAGCCTACCCGTATAGGTAGGCCTCAGATTGCTATTCGACTGATTGCATCGTAAGTTATAACGACACCGCGATAACTATAAAACAGGCTTTCATAAATAGCATAACCGACAGTACGCGCTGGCCCAGCGCACAACAATAGCTAGACCTAAAGCTCACTGAGCTCACTGTGCTCCACACGCCGGGATTCTCTTGGCATCCAAACTAGCTCCGTGCGCTACCTTTTGTGTACATATTCATGTACGTATACTCACATTTTGGAAACTTCATTCATCTTCATGATGAATGACAGGAAATGGGGATTACCTGTTAATGTTCGGGTAAAAGTGGTGATTTGCTATCGGAAAATAATTTTCTCAGTTATCTCTTAGCTTGTTCATTGTAAAAAAAAGAGTCCGATACATCTAGATATGAAGCTTGAGAATATATGGGTATCGGAAAACATCATCAAAAGTCAAATATCGGTAGCATTAGAAGTATCGGGTTGCCGAAAATATCACAGCCAATTACTTTGAAAATATTGTTAGTTTGGAAAACTTATTTTTGACAACTTATATTGTCACTTGCAGAAGGGCTGCACCCAGCGATATCTTGTCTGCACAATGACGGTTGACGAGGAAGTATATTCGCATTTGATGCAACTGGCAAATGCTGAGAGGAAATGGATCTAGGGCCGCAGGTCTATATTGAAAGAAGAGGAAGAACAGCAGTCACCTGCGGCACCATCACTCAAGCAAGGCAGCAAATGTTTTATGGGAAAGTGCTACAAAAGACACAGAGTAAATGTGGATGAGGACAAAGCAATAAACATTTATTGAAGCCTGTCCTATTTCTCATCAGGTAATAACACAATGTTTCCTTATGCCTAACCTAATGCTTCTTCTCTGTAATCGATGCTTAAACAATCCACACAACTTCTGGGTAGTCTTAATGTCACACGTACTCATCCCAATGAACACTAAAATTTTATTATTCAATTGTCTTGCTACATAATACATCACTGCTCCAACAATTTAATGCCTGCTCTTTTAGTACTGCATGGCTCTTGTAAGGATCTGACAATAAGAATTGAAGATTCTGAACTACAGTAAAGCATATATGGTAGCAATATGTGAGGTTTGCACAGAAGAGATGGTGTTCTCGCACAAAGCTTCTGGGGACAGTGCTATCTTGCAGTTGGGAAGTGCAATCGCTGAGCAGGAGCCATGTTCGAGGAAGACAGGTGCTCACAGCCACTCATCAAGAGCATGTACGCTTTCAACGCTCCTGCTGCCAACATGCAACATCATATTCTGGGGAACAGCATCTAGCAAGGTTGCGCCATCTGTTTTAAAGCTCTAATGAATTGGATGTGTTGGCGTGTCAAAATCAAACAGGTAAATGGTAATGCCCTGTTCTATTTGTTAGCAATTATGGGTCATTAACGAAAACCCCATGCCCTATATTACTTCTTGTGAATCTAAATTAGGCTGTATCTACCGATATCCTCTGGAAGAGTAGAATTTGTGTCTTAGGATACACAGAATTTCGAATGCTTGTTATTCGGCTCGATATATCTCGATACGATCCTCGATAGTAAAGCAAAATCGGGGATACTGGTTTTGAGATTATCCAGCTATCCCTCAAAAACTGCGATATTAAATTGTCTCAGTGAGGATAATACATAGTTCTTGCAGTTTCTGCTAGTCTCGTAGTTAAAAACAAACTGTTGTGTACCAATTAAAAGTGTTCTTTCTTTATCATTTTGTTAATTACTGCCAGTGTTATCAATTCCATTCTTGGCTCTTTGGAAATCGTATTACCGACTTACAGTGTACAAAATGTTAATGTTAAATTAGTAGATAAAAAAGGGAGACCAGATCTTTTGGGGGATACTAGATTTAAATACATAGGTATCCAGATGGATACCATTAATAACAATCTAATTTCAACCCTTAATACTTTAGCTGTGTAAAGCAATGACCCTGGAGCTAATGAGTAGTGGGGCAACCAATTTATAGGCGGTCGCGCGTTAGCAGTTGCCGACAAAACAATAGGTACGCGTATCCTCAGTTTGGGTATAAAATCTGCTGGTTGGACAGAGAGAGAGGACAGAGACATTCAGAGATACAGACAGAGATAGACACGCAGTAACGACTACAGAAGTATTATTGCATCAATTTGCATACTAACGGACGAGCCGCAGCATTAGGGGCCATAGTAAGGCTATGATCGTGCTCGCCGTAACCTAGTGTAGCGACGCATACTCTTATATGGAAATTATACATAGTACATATAAAGAGATATCACTGCGAATACGATATACCGAGTGTTGTGTGTGTTCTTTATAATATTATGATTTGCCAATAGAGCTTAGCAGCAAGCCGGTGTACATAGTAACTCACGCGCTACAGCCACTTATAGCGATCACAGGTAAGCGAGCCAGCTTCCCTACATTCCGCTCTATGTTGTAGACATCGGCTTATTTTGGTCGGTTATTGTGGTAGAGCTTTAGGGAGCAACAATATGTTGACAGACGGAATTTTTTCATTTGCTCACAATTCTTTAAGCAATTTCTGTAGCTTCCGTTGTTTTTTAAGTCATTACATTTTTAAGAAATAACACTCGTTGGGGGACATAGGGACTTGGTGAAGCCTAGGAACGCGGGAAACGTGGACATGGAAAGCATTATATAATGATAAATTAATATGCTATATCTATATTATATTCATTAATATTAATCAAATGTCTTAATATTCATATATTATCATTTCACCATATTATTACATATAAAATAACACCAACCCCCAGAAATCCCCCCCGACCACTGGCATCAAGGAGGCACCATGAAAGTTACCGAGTGTATATATGAAGATGTTTAAAGACCTAGTTAACCTTGAAAGCAACATTAGTTGCAGGCCAATGACAATTGCAGGTTGGGCCATTTGCCGTAAGTTACCAAGGAAAATCATACACTAGTATATATCTCTCTCTCTCTCTCCTTTATCTCTCGCTCTCATTCGCGATCTCATCTTTCTCTCGTCTCCGCTCGCTCGTCATCTCTCTCTTTCTCTCTCATCTCAACGGAGAGCAAATCTCTCTCTCTCTCGTCTTACTCTCTCATCTTTCCCCTCTCATCCTTGCTTATCTCGTCTCTCAACTCCTCTCTGCTCTCTCGCGCTCCCTCTGTCTTCTCTTTCTCCTCCTCTCCTCTCTCTAGTCTTCTCTCTCTCTTTCCAGCCTCTCTTCCTCGCGTATCTCTCCTCTCCTCATCCCTTGCGCT